AGAATTTGAATGTTGAGGTTTAGAAGTCCAGTGTCTGCCATTCGCATTAATTTGATTTTCAAATGGCACTGGCAATATTCTATACCAAAGACAGAAATAGTTTCCAAAGGCAAATCCAGCTGCAAGGAGTTAAGACAAAATGTTAGAAAGAGGAAGGAAGCAATAGGCCATACATAAAGGAGATTATAAAGAGAATCATCCAAAGTGTACGTTGATGTACTTATTTGGTCCTGTATTTTATCACTGGTATGTCTGAAGGGTTTAAAAGCTAGACTTGCAGATGGTAATGACATTGGGAGCACAGCAAATCATAATGTATGCTGCATCTAGATTCAGTGCAGGCAGAGACAGAGGCAAAATATTTAAAAACAAGCAAAATTAAACCATATTAAAAATCCCAACTAGTGTACATGACAATCTCTTATAGCATTAAATTTTGCAGTTAACTAGCATATTTAGCAATCTGATAGTTTTTTATTCCTGAACTGTCACTACCAGAGCAGCAAGATTGCCCTCCCAGTCATGTCATAGTTGTTTGTTATAAAAAGTCCAAATCAGGCTGCATCAGAGCGTCTGGGGTTTATTCTGTACCTTGTTCATCTAGTTGATTCTGACAGTATAGACCTGATGTTGTCATATATCTCTTGCACTGTGTTGTGCATACACCAGCTTTAACCAGTTTTCATAGAATGGTTTGGGTTGGAAGGGACCTTAAAGATCATCTAGTTCCAACCGCCCTGCCATGGGCAGGGACACCTTCCACTAGACCAGGTCGCAAAAAGCCCCATCCAACCTGGCCCTGAACACTTCCAGGGATGGGGCATCCATAACTTCTCTGGGCAACCTGTTCCAGTGCCTCACCACCCTCACAGTAAAGAACTTCTTCCTCACATCTAACATAAATCTACCCTCTTTCAGTTTAAAGCTATTACCACTTGTCCTATCACTACGTGCCCTTGTAAAAAGTCCCTCTCCGGCTTTCTTGTAGGCCCCCTTTATGCATTGGAAGACCACTATAAGGTCTCCCTGGAGCCTTCTCCAGGCTGAACAACCCCAACTCTCTCAGCCTGTCCTTGTAGGAGAGGTTCTCCAGCCCTCTGATCATCTTCATGGCCCTCCTCTGGACTTGCTCCAACAGGTCCGTGTCCTTCTTCTGTTGGGGGCCCTAGAGCTGAACACAGTACTCCAGGTGGGATCTACTTGACAGTGGAGTAGAGGGGCACAATCACCTCCCTCAGCCTGCTGGTTATGCTTCTTTTGATGTAGCCCAGGATACAGTTGGCTTTCTGGGGTGCAAGCGCACGTTGCTGGGTCATGTTGAGCTTCTCATCAACCAACACACCCAAGTTGTTCTCCTCGGGGCTGCTCTCAATACATTCATTGCCCTGCCTGTATGTGTGCTTGGGATTGCCCTGACCCATGTGCAGGGCCTTGTTGAACTTCATAAGGTTCGCACGGGCCCACCTGTCAAGCTTGTCGAGGTCCCCCTGGATGGCATCCCTTCCCTCCAACATGTCGACCACACCACACAGCTTGATGTTGTCAGCAAACTTGAAGAGGGAGCGCTCAATCCCACTGTCCGTGTTTCCAACAAAGAAGTTAAACAGCGCCGGTCCCAATACAGACCCCTGAGGAACACTACTTGTCACTGCTCTCCACTTGGACATTGAGCCATTGACTGCAACTCTTTGAGTGCGACCATCCAGTCAATTCCTTATCCACTGAGTGGTCCACCCATCAAATCTATGTCTCTCCAACTTAGAGACAAGGATGTCTTGCAGGACAGTGTCAAATGCTTTGCACAATTCCAGGTAGATGGCATCAGTTGCTCTTCCCTTATCCACCAATGCTGTAACCCCATTGTAAAAGGCAATTGGATTTGTCAGGCACGATTTGCCCTTAGTTAAGCCGTGTTGGCTGTCACCAGTGACCTCCTTATTTTCCATGTGCCCTAGCATAGATTCCAGGAGGATCTGTTCCATGATCTTGCCAGGCACAGAGGTGAGACTGACTGGCCTGTAGTTCCCTGAGTCTTCCTTTTTTCCCTTTTTAAAATTGGAGGTTATGTTTCCCTTTTTCCAGTTAGTGGGAACTTCCCTGGACTGCCACAGCTTCTCAAATATGATGGATAGTGGCTTAGCCACTTCATTCACCAGTTCCCTCAGGACCCACTGATGCATCTCATCAGGTCCCTTGGACCTGTGCACCTTCACGTTCCTTAGATGGTTTTGAACCTGATCTTCTGTGGTGGGCAGTTCTTCATTCTCCCAGTCCCTGCCTTTGCCTTCTGTGTCTTGGGCAGTGTGGCTGGAGCACTGGTCAGTGAAGACTGAGGCAAAAAAGTCATTGAGTACCTCAGCCTTCTCCATGTCCCAGGTAACCAAGTCTCCCATTTCCATCCAGAAAGGGCCCACATTTTCCCTAGTCTTCCTCTTATCACAAATGTACCTATAGAAGCTTTTCTTGCTGCCCTTGATGTCCCTGGCCAGATTTAATTCTATCAGGGCATTAGCTTTCCTACCCCGATGCCTGGCTGCTCGGACAATTTCTCTGCATTCCTCCCAGGCTACCTGTCCTTGCTCCCACCCTCTGTAGGCTTCCTTTTTGTGTTTGAGTTTGTCCAGGAGCTCCTTGTTCATCCACGCAGGCCTCCTGGCATTTTTGCCTGACTTTCTCTTTGTTGGGAAGCATCGCTCCTGAGCTTGGAGGAGGTGATTCTTGAATATTAACCAGCTTTCCTGGGCCCCTCTTCCCTCCAGGCCTTTATCCCATGGTACTCTACCAAGCATATCCCCAAAGAGGCCAGTCCGCTCTCCTGAAGTCCAGGGTAGCAAGCTTGCCATGCGCCCTCCTCGCTGCACTAAGGATCTTGAACTCCACCATTTCATGGGCACTGCAGCTGCCCTTGAGCTTCACATTCCCCACCAGCCCCTCCTTGTTGGTGAGAACAAGGTCTGGAACGCATCTGGAAACAATTCAGTTTTCCTTGTACATGCGCTTAGCCTTCAGGTTTTATTTAGTAGTGTGACAGAATAAGGCTACAGGTATGTTTCCTCTGTTTTAATTGACTCTTCTTTTGTACAGGAATAGAAAATAAGCCATGGTGTTCAGTGCTCGCAAAGGAGATGTGGATGTTAATCTGATATTCCAAGACTCTGTGGCCACTGTTCAGGGAAAAGCTGTGACTAATGACTACTTCCTTGTGATCTTTAGGTAATGAATGTTTAGAAACCATATTCTTGCTTCTCCAGAAAAGGAAGTTGTGCCCAATTTTTTTAAATATTTGGGTGGCCTGTGAGATCTTCAAGAGCATCTTTTCTAAATTCTTCTGGAGTTTTTGAAAATCAGACTGGCAGCCTTCCAGCAACTTTAGGTGCTTAATTTGTCCTAAAAATTTGGGCTTTCACCCCTAACTTTTTCACCCAGCTGTGTTCCGTCTGAAGGCAGGAGTTTTCAGCACTCTCACACCTCCATTAAACCTTCCAGATTCTGGTACTTGTATCCTATCGTGCCTGGCAGCTGCTCCAAGAGCAAATTCTGTATTCCATTACTTTCAGAAGGGTCAGCAGGGCTGCCCTTGCTTTACACTGAGGTGAGTTTGACCCTAAAATATTCTTGAGAGAGAGCACATTTTCTTTTCAGATAGTGTTACAGATTAAAACAGCAACTGTTTTTCAAAAGTGCCTGTAGTGGTGTACTAGGGACCTCCGTCTTGCTATGAACAGCTCTGCTGTTCCTTGCAGGGCAGCAGACTATTACGCCTTTCAGCATTAGCACCTTTGCATACTCTCACACTCTTCAGGGTTGCTGCAATGACTTTATTTGCACCTGCTTCATTAATCATCTGGGCTATCATCTTGTGGCATTCAGCCGTATTCCAGACACTAATACTTCTGGAATCTGAAGACCACAGGTATGTGGCCAAGTTACCTTCAGTTCATCTCGGAGGTGAATGGTTTCATTTCTGTTGCTATTTGTTAAATAAAGGAGAATTGTTTCTTTGGATTGATTCATTTCTGAAAGGATCATGCAAATGGAAATCTCAAACTATCAATATTGTCATTCCATATTCTGTTTCAATAATCTCCTCTACTTCACCATGGTACATTATTTAATCTCCTACTGTTTCACATGAACATCTGTAACAAGATTGCAATGAAAAACAGTGTGCCATGTGGTTAAAATAATGAATATCAAGTGATCTGAGTGCTCTGAAACAAATCATGTGACAAAGGAGATGGGCTTAAGTGGTGAACAAGTATATTCATTCTTGTGAGAATACAAGAGATCTGAACCAAATTTCATATGAATTTTGTGGAATTATAAGAGAATTTAAATTAAGTTCCAAAGGTTATGATTGCTCCTTATCACTGAAATGTACTCTCTAATCCTAAAAATCTCCACATTCTGGAAACCAAGATATGATTTCCAGTACTGTATTCAAGCTTCTGGTGCTATCTCAATACTTTATCAGTAAACTGAATACTGTTATCAAAGATCTATAATTGAATATGTATTTTACATCTTCTTGTAAGTAATACGAGATCCAAACATATATTTGATGGCATTAAAATCAAACAATGGCTTATATTAAAAAATGTCCAAGTCCTTAAATCCTGTGCAGCTTAGCTCAGGAAAAGATAGCTGGGAATATTCCTTCTGAACACAGTTGTGGTAAGACAGTTGCAGAGAGAAAATTTTGCTAATTTCTACTGTCTCTGTAAGCCAGATCACATCAGGCTTTATACATAGTGGTCAGCACCCTGTATTTTACATAGAAAGTGAAATGATCACCAGTACAGACCTTTGTGTACCTGGCCTTTTTGTACTTACCAAAAAGGTGGACAGCAAAATTCAGGTAGACCGTTCAAGCAACCTCACAAGATAGTCCCAGCAGAACAACCACAGACACATGTATTAATTGCAGAATATTCTATTCCTTTATACAAATGCGCTTTTTTTTCCAATTTAACCTTAAATATACAGGTGTTCATCCTGAACTTGTTTGTTTAGCCTTTTGTGGTGAAGAGATCTACCTTCAAATGTGGAACTTGGCTGCAAAGATCAATGACCAGTTTTTGACTGTTGCTACAAACAAGCGAAAAAACACAAATGGAATTTGAGACATTGTGGCTATGCAGAAATGTCCCAGTCAAGTTCAAAATACACAGGTATTTTCTTCCTTTCTTTCAGATTAGGGCAGGTAGCAGACAAGACAACATGACAGGCACAATGTTGCATTTGAAAACATGACTGAAACCTTAAAAGGTGGTTCTGCCAAAAAGAACAGACAAAATATACTAATTTCTGTAATTTGTGCCTGAATTGCCTTGCCTGTTTCTGAAGTAGTTTACACATTGCAGAGGGCTGGATTCAGAATTAACATAAATGAATACAATGCTGAGCACTGCTGGAATCTTCCAGTTAAAAACAAGTTGAACGTAAAGAGCCAAAGGACTCATCCTTGCAACACCTTGATGTGGAGACTTTTTTAGAATGTGTCTCAGCCAAATTATAGCAAAAAAATGAAGAAAAGTAGCTTTTTGTAATGATGAAAGATCAGAACTCCAAAAGTGAACTCGTGATTACCACTGGTTTCAGTGACGCCAGGATTTCAGCCCGATGTTGCAACCGGATACATACATATCTATGCGGGGGAATTGGAGATCACTGTCATGGGAGTGTTCAGAAGATTCATAAACCAAGCCGATTCAAACTTTAAAACATAACAGGGACAACTCTGTAGGCAGAATCATAGATTGGTGAGTGTTTGGTGGTTTTTTTTATCTTGGAAATATGTGGTATGCAGGAATCTCAGTGCTGGAGTGATTACAGTGTGGCACATATAGTAAAATCAAAATGCCATGCTGTTAGAATGGAAAAGAGACTTGTAGAAAGCATTGAAATTGTGCTGGTGAGGGATACAAAACTCTTTGTCTTTCCAGACAAGGGATTTGCCTCTCTTCCGGATTCTCTGACACTCATTTTTCAGGTACTAAATGCAAATTTACTCAGAAAGTAAGTTTGGGGGGTGTACATGCTTATGGATTTTTTTTACATTTCTGTAAAACCTAATTAAACAAGACATTTCCTTAGATAATTATTTACACAAGGCAGGCAAGGTGGGGATCTTTTATATCTTTGCTAGAAGCTGTTAACTTATGACCTTTTGAAAAAGAAGTATGTGAAGAAACAGTCAGGTCATTACATTGTTCCTTGCCAAAGTAAAGAGTACAGGATTCCTGAGGGAGGGCTACTGCTTGGCCTCTCTGAGAATAGGTAGGAGTTTGTCTCTGGCGCTGACTGCATCATCCACAAAGTTTTATATATAGAAAAAATCACATGTTCATGCTCCATACAGCTAACTGCTACGTACTTTTAAATGGAATGATTGTTCAGTCAACCATCTTAACTTTTTTTATGTTCTTGAATCACAGTAGTCATTAGCATAAAGGGCATTCTCCTGAAATCCACCAGATACTCATGGAAGTGTCTCTAAAGAAAGTTAAAATCTGAAAACAAGCATTTCTTTATACTATATTATGTACCTGAGTGGAAACTTTAAATCTGGTTGAGGTCAGCTGTACTTCTTAGTTTCAAAGCTGCTGTGGGACCTAAACTGTGAGCTAAGGCTCCCTTTTCCAGAAATGGAGGCAGACAAAAGAAATCACTTTCTGGGGATAAAACCCTCTAACAGTAATAAAGACCTCACTGGAGCAGAAAGATGCAACTCGTTCTTCCCTGTGCCTGTTGGACTGAGTTGGTTTTCTCTAGCATTTGTGAGGTCTGTGAGAAATGTTTGGATAAGATCTTTTGGTGCTGTTCCCAGAACATGGTTCATGTGATAGCAAAGAATCCTGATCTTTTGCCAGGGACCTTTTTGTCATTGGGAATTTAGAGACTGGGTTTGTAAAGGGTTGGCTAAGCTGGAATACAAAGAAAACTCCTGAGCAACCTATTCTGGCAGGTCATCTTCTGTCAAAGGCCGCCAGGGACCTGTGCCAGGAGACTTCACCCAAAAGGAGAATGAGCAAGGGAGCGACAGGTGACAGCTTTAACTTCTGTAGCACTGCAGGCCTGCGGTTGAAACATTGGTTGTCCAGGCCATGGATTTGCACTGAAATATGAATTATTGGAATAAATAAATGAGGTCACTGTAACCTTCCTTAAAGCCAGAGCATCCTTGTCTTGAAGCAGGGAGATCAAAGAGATGAAGACCAGACTGATGATGTACAATTATTATATGCCTTCAACTGCCAGCGTTAGTGATCCTAGCTGCCTGAGAAGTGGGAAGGAGGAATTGGGACTACGCTCACTTAAATACTATTTAAGTAGCATTACCATCTCTCTAGACATCAGTCTAAACCACTGATTTCCAATCTTTTTTCCATCTGTAACCCGTAAGTTTTGTCCACTGGCAAGGCAGTCTTGGGTGAATGGAAGGTAAGCATACTGAAGAGTTTTCCTCACTACTTTCCATTCACCTCTTAAAGTCTGGAGTTGCAGACAGCCTATTTTGACTTCTGATGCAAGGAATTTATCTTGAATCTACCACTGCTGTTCACAGTAGTTATTTAAGGTGCAGTCTATTACCACCTGCTCACAATATACAAAATATCAGAAGGAAGCAGATTTTCCAGAAGCCTTTAAAACTGTAGTGATCACCTATTAGGTAAATTGTGCATCTTTCCTTCTGAGGAATTTTGCTTCAATGAATGTAATCAAAAGGTTGTATCAGGTGACAAATATCAATATTTAATATTTTTTCAGAACTTTGGACCCCATGGGAAAGGTGCAAGGAAATTCAGACAGGAAAGGAGACTGGAGAAGAAAGTAAAACAAGAAATGGAAAAAAAGGAACTTACTAGTGAAAAACATAATGCCATTGATCAGTACTTGCTTAGCGGAGATGAAAAGGTGAGAAACAACATCCTAATGTATCATGTTTATACAGTTTCTCTCAAATCTCAAAATATTGTTCAGCTTACTGATGGGTATGTTATGTAACAACTGTTAGAATGCTGAGAAGCTATTTTGTTCTACTTTGTATTCCTTTTTTTTTATGTCACTTATTTCTATCTTGTTTTCACTCCATAGTTACCATTATGATCTGGTATCAGGAAGGTCTCAAATAGGTAAGTGTTCTGGGGTCATAACTAAGTCCACCTTTTGATTGCTTAATTTAAACTGATGATTAATTTTCTATTCAGAAATTCTATAGCTTTTCTTCCTAAAGATCAAATTTTAAATTGTAATAAGAATTTTACAGTTTCGTTGTGTTGTAACCAGAATTCCTTTTTTTCACAAGTTTGCAAAGTTTATTAATAATCTTTTTGCTATTTACTGTCATCTGCATATATAAATTATCACTGGTAGGCTGTGTTTGGCTTTACTATGAACAGTTTCCCATCTGACTTACTGTAGATAGTCCCAGCCCTGTGTTCATTTGACATGATTTACCTTGATTTTCTCAGTCAGCACTGCATTGGGTCAACAGACAGATCAGCTGGAGAAGTTATTACAAGTGCATATGTGTACATATACAATAATTTATATGTCCATATGAAAGGACTTATGCCTAGAGGTCCATTTGGTTTTAAGGTTCATTGACCAACACCAATGCCACTTAACTACTTATATAAATAAATACGCTAAGATTGAGAAAAGGGTACATATTTTAAATTAGATATAAATGAGATAAAAAAGAAAACTTCTTGAGCTTCTGAGTGACTTGCCAGATGATCTCCTGCTCCCTAGGTCACAGTGTGCTCATAACACGCACACCATCTCTCTGAGTGCAGTTTGCAAGCCCCGTGCCATCTCCATCTTCTTGAAACCGGCACATCTGTCCTCTTTCTATACACTACTGCCTTGACCTACATTGGCCACTATCTGGTGCTTCCCAGCTACACTGAAGAAGAGAAAATCGACTGTATCATATGTGGAACTTAGAAACCAGAGCGGTAGGTATTATTTTTTGTAAGCTTAAATTCACTTTTAGTGTTGAAAAGTGACTGCTAGATGTGGTATTTATAAAAATAACCAAGAGTTTGGATGGTGAATATCTGCATGAAACTACTGAGAAATTATCAGCACAGTAAGGATTACTTACTGAACATATTCTCTAATTGCTAAAAATTCATGTACTCATTTTGCCAGTCCCTTCCACCAAAAATTAACACTCATCAAAGAAAATACTGTGAAATATTATTCCACTGTTTCTTGAATAGGTAAAAACCAAAGCATAGTATCCAGGTTTGCTGCTTAAAATACCTGAACATCCATCAAATTTTCTATGAGTGTGGAGAATATCATTATTTTGTTATTAATTAATTATGTATGCAGCAAGTAGAAAGCAGAGCTGGAAATCCATTTAGGAGGTCATTCATTTCAACAGTACTGAAATTTATTATTATTGGGCCTATCTTTCTACTGTAATAGAATAGGCCCTTCATATATACAAACATCCCTACTTTCACTCCAGCAAATAGGTGGTACTTCTGTGCAACAGCTAGAATCTTGTCCCTGGGTAGTTGTGTTCTGCAGCCATCACCTGAATTGCCAGGTATCATTAGAAGCTTACTCTCCTTGATCCTAGTCTTGATGCCCCTGGGAAATTGCACCATTCCTCACATCCTATGCCTTTAAATGTTCCTCAATTGTGGATCTGGATTTTGCTGGGAAGAGAAGGGTCAGCTGTCCCCATGGACTTTGTGCCGCTGTGGCAGCATAACCTTTGACACCATTCAGATCACTTTTGCCAGGGGAATGCAAGGAACATGCAACAAGTGTCCACCCAGCTGGCTGCTGGCGATGCTCAAAATGTGCCCTTAGGTAGGGTGGATCTGATGGCTCTGCTCCCCTCCTGTCCTGCTGGCTGAGAGAAAATAACTACATTCTTCAAATTATTTTCAGAGAGAACTTTCAGGGGAAAAGGTTGGAAGAAGGAGAAATAATCAGATTAAATTCTCCTGGAGCTTTGTCTGGGCCTCCAAGGATATGTCAGTGCCTTCTCACACCTCAAGAACTGCTGATCCAATCCATTTCCCCTGCGCAAGGGCAGGATCAGTTATAATTAAACCAATGCTGACATGACTGTCTAGCCTGTCTTGTAGCATCTTCATCACTGGAGATCTTTACTTTCCAAAGTAATATATTCCAGTGCTTCACTGTCATTATGGTTGGGCAGTTCTTTTTTGTTTTGTTTTCTCCCTAGTGTCTTATTTAAATGTTCAGTACTCCATCTGAAGGACATTAATTATCATCCTTTTCACTTAGACAGATTGTCCCTTTCCTCTCAGAAGCAAACTTTCACATTACTGAGGACTACTGACTTCAGTCCTCTTGATTCTAGTCTTTGTTCTATTTTTCATTAGAAGTCATGTCTTCTACACCTCTTCTCTATCTTGTCACTTATTTGAACTCCCTCCACCCTTAAGTGTGGTTTCCAAAACTGAAGAGCATATAATTACTTAACATGTCTTAAAACAGCATTCCTATTTATTAATCAGATTTGGGTTTTTTGCAATGATGCAAAATTAGTGACATGTTGATCTTACTCTCTTCAAACACTGGTGGTGTTTTATTGTCAATGATTATTGTACTATATTAAATAATCATTAAATTGCTATTCCTTAAGACTAATATCAAATTAATAGTAGAGGTGTTTATCTGACAGGTACTTAAAATTACTATTTTCCTAAATTTTAGGTTAAAAATTATTGAAAAATGAGCCAGATGTGTACTGCTTGACAATTAAAGATGATGCCAGTAGAATTGGTTTTGGAGTCATGATGGAAAATGGGTAAACTCCTGAATATGTTCCTCTTTTGTTATTACATGAATGGTACACTCCACAACCATCAAGTTCCTGTACCGAATCACTTGCTCAGAAAGGAAAAATGAGGAAGCTGGCTAATGCTGATAAAGTAACTTCATGAAATGCAAAGAATAAGCTAATAGATTCTGTGTTTCTGCTGATAAGTCAAGGATTTATTATGTTTGTAAAAATTACTTTGAGTTATCTTTTCAAACAAAATGACTCTTACATCATTTTCTTCCACTCACTTGCATCCTTTCACTAAGTATGATAAAACTATGATTGGTCATCTTGTGAGGTTTTTACTACCTTAAGAAAAGAGACAAATGACAGATAACCGATGGTTTAGAGTGACAAATTAATTAGTTTCTGCTTACATGTTCTGATCTTCTAAACTGGAAATGAGCATGAACATTGGGCAGTCATTACTAAAGAGTTGCGTGTTGTGTTTGAAATTAGGCTTTGTTGTGTGTCATCTTTATTAAGCAGTGTTCTCTTTGTATGGGACTCAGGTTTTAAGTATGGCTATTTGTGAATGGCCCCCTCTTTTCCCCGCTGAAGTAGATGATGATAATTGCACTCTGGTGTAAAAATCTAATCACAGCAACACAAACAACACAGGGAGACTCTGGGCTTAAGAAGGTACAATTTAGAAGCCCAAGCATCAAACAAAATAAAGGGATCTTGGGAAAATTTAGTGAGAAAGGCAGCCAGCCATTCCCAACTACCCAGTGAGATTCCAGCAGAAGGTGACAGGATTCCAGTGTCTATATTCATATTAAGACTTAGAAGAAACTTAGTGTTTTTAAGGCTTGCACAGTAATAATGAGAGACAACTGAGAGAAGCTATGCATGCCATTTATTTAGAGCTATTGGAAGTCCAGTCAGCCTCTACAGTTGTGCTGTTTCATGATCTTTCCAAGTGTAACAGCATACATGGTGATCTCTAATGGGTTTTATGTAAGGTTTAAAGAAAGATCTGCTTGAAATGATACACTGAAATAAAACTATGCCAAAGCTATTATACAGTCTATTTTAATGGACTTTTTTATATGAGCACCATCTTAAACTGAAACTCCTAACACTCCATTAAATATTGTATCTTCCTACATGGTTCAAAAGCATGGCAGAAATAGCAATACCAGTTATTGCTTCAGTTACTTCCCATAGAGTGTTAAGAACCCTGACCCAGCAGAAGGTTAGCAATGTTTTAGAGCCTTAAGTTAGAAGACTTCAGCTAAGATACCCTAGTTAGATGCTTTCTGTTGATGCACTTAAGCCTTCAGTAGAAACTTGGGTGTTTTGCTGAAAACATAAGCAGTATCTTAGAGGAATGAGGTTAATGCCATCAAATTAGTCAGTATTTGCATGACTGGCTTTAGTTCAGGAGTTTATACCGAGAGGCTCTCCTCACTTTTCCTATGCGAGGCAAAAATATAGAGTTTCAAGATCATTATGTGTTCATGGCTTTTTTTATTATTTGAATAGAGCCAGCTTTTGGACAGAGACAGAACCTCCATTTGTGCAGATTCCGTATTTTGCCAAGGCCATGATTTAAAATTGCACCTCGGTCTTATCAGTTATTCAGGCTGTTGAAGAGGAGATGAAGCATCTGCTGAAGAGCATGTTTGCACAACACCTTTGGAGAAATGGGCAGAGAAGAAAGGCACAAGCTGTTAGAAAATAATATCAGTTTGTATCAGTGGGAAAATAAAAGCTGTTTGGAAGCACAGTCAGCCTAAAAACTTAGCTTCAACTATAAAGAATTGAATGGAAGTGTGTCATTTTTATATTAATTGGATAATTCCATTTAGAAGCTGTACTTACTTTAGTGAGAAGGAAAACTAGGACTATAATCTAGGCACATTTTTATATATCTCTATATGCAGATTTACTTTGGCCACAAGGCTCAAGAAGGAGCCTTATCAAATGATCTGGTTTTTTTGGCAAGCATACTAGCATGATCTTAATTTAATAACAACTTTTTCCTACTGTGGTTTTTGAATTAAGTTCTGCCTAGAGGCTGTATTCCAAAATATCAGGATTTTTTTTTTTTTTTTTTTAAATCCTTCATCCAGAGATAGAATAGATGCAGGAATGTTTCTGGTTACAGCCAGGACATTCCTCCTGTGAGGGACTCGCATGATTTCAATTATTAAGAAAAGTTTTAAATTTCTTCTTAGTTCAATTAATTCTTTTAACAGCCCTTTACAGTTGGCAGTTACCAAAGCTGCAGTTCAGTTACTCTGGTGCACTCCACAAAGTAAAGCCTTTGAAATCTGTGGGTGCTTTCTTCTCTGCTGTTGTACCTCATGCCAGCAACTACAGATGACAAGTCATTAAATACGAGAGAGAGGTGTTAGCAAAATAAAATTTTATTAAATACAAGACTTATGTCTGACCTGCTTCCCCCAAACCAAATCTGTCTCCGTGACAACAGCCACAAGTGTGTGACAAAACATTCGGGATTTCTCTAATGAAAAATTTAAATACTTAAAATGTCACTTTTCAAGGAAGCATTATATTTTATCCTCAAGCAGGTTTCAAAAGCGCATAGCATGTTTACAGGAAGACAAGCCTTGTGGCTTGTAAAGCTTCATCAGCTAACGCATTAAATACACTCCCCACAGCAAGCAGGGCCAACTGCTGCACAGGCGTAAGAATGAACACACACTCTGTTAACTTACCTGATCTGGCAGTGCTTTGGGAATGGGGAGGTATGTCTTCTGAAGTCGAGTTTAGAATAGCTCTGGTAAAATAATCAGAAATTTTATTGCAACATTCTTTACATAAAATCATTCAGAAGTACCTTCACAGTTTACTACAAATATTTCAGTAGTGTAAGAAGGGAAAGACTTAAAATTATTCTTACCTTCTATTGTTAAATAAAATCTAATCATAACAGATGAATTTGCCACTCTGGTATATATGATCATTAGATTACAAATTACTGCACTGAAAATCATAGCCAACAAAGTATGTATTTTTACTTAGAAAATGCTCAATGGTCTGTTTCTGTATGATTTCAATTATTATTCAACATTTCCAAGCTTTATGAAATTAACATGAAGGGTTCTTCACCGATGCAGAAATTCCAATGATCTGATACTCAGAAATCCAAGTCATCAACCGTTTTTAAGCTTCTTAAAAACTCTCCCAAAAGCCATTTAGTAGCGAAATTATCTTGCAACCCACGTCCCAGTGCTACTGGTTAACTTACACAACTCACTGTGTTCAACTGACAATAAAATTGTTTGTTATTACACCTTTGGGGAAAAAACATATTTAGGTTTTTTCTTCTAGAATTTACTGTCTGTATGTATTTGAGTATGTTTTTGTTATGTGTTCACAGGATAGAAGTTTGGGATCCATTTGAACACCAGAATACCATTATTCCAGGTTATGAAAGCGTACATCATACTGTGATTAGCAAACTCCAGCTGCTGGAGGAAAGGGCAAAAGCAGTCCTACTTGCAGGTCTGTAAAACTGATTATTATGCTGGTAATGCTTCTACAATTCTGTTTCTCATCCTTCTCCAGTAATAGATGGCATGTTAGTATTAAAAATTTACAAGGCAAAATTTCTAAGTAGCAATAACATAAGCATACAGTGGGTTGCAACTCTAGTATGGTTTTGATGCTATTGTGGGTTTATTTTTATTTGAGAAATGATGGGTACTTTCCTCCTTTTAAATGGGATACTGAAGACTGAAACTTTGCTATCTGATGAGGTCAAAAGGAGCCTCAGAATAATTCTGTGTCTGTCCAGCAGCAGCTGACAGACTATGGAGCATGCAGCCCCCCTTTTTGTCCCTGCACTGCAGAGCAGAATTGATGATCCCAGTTACCAATCTCTCCCTGTCTCATGCACCAGGCTATTTTAATGGCTCCGATAAAGTGTTCCTCAGACAACAATTAAAGGCATTCTTCAAGGTCTGAAAAGCACATAGTCCAGAGAGGACAGGGTCAAAAATAGTCAAAGAACAAGGAAGCGAAACTAAGGAAATAACAGTACCAGACAATCTTCATGCAAATAGCAGAAATTTGGGGAGTTCTGTTGTTGTTGTTTACCACAGGTTCCCTTTACTCTAGACTTTTAATGTCCTTTTATATTCATTTCCGCTACTCAAAATAATAATCTATTCATTGTTGACCTCAAACAGCAAGAAAGCAGTATCTCCATACAAGCCCAAAAGGGACATGTAGCTTCCATGGCACAAGTATGAATGCTGGGGCACCTGAATTAATTGCACCACCTCTCACCAGCTCCCTCCCCTCTCCATAAAACAAACAAACAAAAAAACCCCAAAACAAACCACAAAAAACAAACCCCCAAACCAATAGTGTTCCTCCACTGCCAGCAAATGCAGCTACCATGGTAACCTCACATTGTACCTGTCTGGGCTGCTGTCTCCCAGATGAACCTTCCTGTATTCCTCACTGGAAGGTTACAATTTCAAGTATATTGCAGTCTTTCCCCCAAAAGTATGAAACAAATTTACACACCTAAAACTTGTCAGATTTTTAAATTCATACTGCATGTAATTATATAGCATCCAGTTCGCCTCCTGCAAAAATCACTGCCTCACTGATACCATGCAGGGGCAAAATGAAGTTTGGGGTGGTATCTGTAAGCCTACCATTTCCCAGCCTGACTGGTGACCTAAATAAAACTTTCAGTATTAGGTTTTTCCAAGATGTAATTTATACTATGGCTGTCAGAAGTTAAGATAGCAGTTGCCATGGAGCTTTAATCTTTTTTTAGGCTTTAGTCAAAGGAAGCTGGAAATCTGTATGCTGGGTAGAACCCTGCTCAACAGAATTTTATTTAAATTGGGACAGGATTTTATCCTAATTTCTCTACTGAAAAGTTATTCTCAAAGGTTCTAGATTTTTTTTATTTTATTCTGTTTCTCAGCAGGAGATGAAAGTTTCCTTTTAGGCTTCTTAAATCACGCTACATTCAACCACAGAAGTACCCAAGTTGCTCCCTCCCCCTACTCCTCCAACTATAAACTGTAACTTTCTACTAGTCTTAATGTGCGCAGCTAATCACTGTAGTGAAATTCATTCACCAGTTCTACCGTTTTCAGTGGAGGTACTCCATAAATATGCAGAGCAAAACTTTGGGGAGGGTTTTATTTTCTATGTGCCCACTAAGCGCTAATCCCTACACTGGAAAACAGGCCTTTGGAACAGAAGTAATTACAATTTGAATCTGTGTGTATGCTATTTATAACCTCCTTGATGTATACTTAAGAAAAAAAGAAGCATGCTATGCATGAAGTGCATCTCTGAAGTACAAAATTGGCCATGCTATAGTCAGTAATGTTCTGCAAGAACACAGTTGCAGCAGAACAGAGATGCAGTCCAGTCTAATACTTGCAGTTAAAACATTGCTGGCTGACTTAAAACTGAGCTTGCCCTACCAGGTTAACCAAAAGAATGCAGAAATAGGTGGGAAAAAATGCAGAATTTGTCAAAATAGGCTTTTAGAACTCTTACTCTACCCCAACCAAAAATTAGAAAGGGTTCAGATACAGTATGATCTTTATCTTAAGAAGAGACTTGGATTCAAAGGCAAATGACAGCTTCATTTAATGAAAAAAAATGCCAGAATTTTAACTAAATAGAACTGTTTACCGGCCAACTGTAGTGGAAATCCATAATCCTCGAGCTGTTCCAAAGACTGCAGGGTAATCAGCAAATTGGCACAAAACAGAGGATTTAAAACTTTTTCAACTCTTTCATGGCATGTATTACAAAAGAGGCATGATAATAGTAAAAAGAAATATTTTTTCCTTCTAGGATATGTAAGTCTGTGGGACTTGAACAGTTGCACAGTAACATCTGGTTTTACCACTGACAGCAAAATGTCTTACCTAACTAGAACTGGACAGAAAAACAATTTTTGTGGGTTTGAATAACACCCCTGCTCATCATCTTGAGAGGATCAGATACAAAAACAACTATCCAATCCACTGAAAAAAGACTTCTTTGGAGAAGTATCCACTAGCAGCCAGGAAGAACCTGAAGAAAACTAGACTGTCTGATGATTAAAGACACAAGTAGCATTTTGGATCTCTTAAAGACAGCTATTCAGAGACGTAATTGTTCACTGTGCCCAATAAAAGCTGGGCACTGCGAATAGGATTCAGAAAGCCATAATGGTCGAGGAAACTGCTTAAAGTAGCTCAAGAGAACTTTTGACAGGTGAGGTAAGATAAGAAGCAAGTATCTTCAAGAACAGATGCTTTACTCTGAATTGCAGGGGTATGCACATCTCCGTTCAAGGTTTTCAACCTTTCTTGAGTTAGGCTCCTATAGGAAACTCACAAAAGAGTAAGCGCTACTGCTTTCCTAACCTCATCTGACTGGTCTAGTGCAGATCTTCCCAACATATATCTCAGTTAATTTATTTGGTCTGTGGCATTCCACAGGTCAAACTATACTTGGCCTGCCTCAAGTCTCCTCTGCAGAGACCAGCCAGGGTTGCCTAGCCAGTCCTGACAGAGGGAAGATACGCTACTTCTAAGCTATAGCATAAACAAGTCGCTTTTTCTTTGCCCACAATACCTTTCTTTGCCGAGACTCACTGAGTAGACAGGCTGTCTTTCAGGACTCATACATCTGTCATTTGAGTTTAAAGCAGGCTTCAGCAAGCAATAGCTACCAATATAGTATTAGCTTTGAAATATGCCACAGAACTTCAGACATACCCTTGTGTGATAAAGTATCTTCATGATTTGCAGGGGCTTTTATCATTGTTAGATTCAGGTATGTATGGAAAAAAAAAAAAGGTCTAGATTATATTGCAGCATTTAAAGCAGGCTGGGCTTTTATATGAAACCTGTGGTATTTTTTCAGTCTGAGGTGACAATGTCAAAGAATTGCAGAGCTACTGGAGTTGAGACCTCTTAGTAAAAGAAACATGTACGCAGACAAGAGGGAGAAAGAACTCTAAGCCCTTAACTTGCTGATGTGGCAATCACTGCAGTTTTGTCCCAATAGACTGGTTGGGTTTTAGGGGAGACCAAACAGGGTGCAGTTCAGCCCAACTGAGTCGAAAGAATAGAAACCCAGAATAAGACTTTAAGAATCAGATCTGTTGCAGTCAGAAATGGTACAAGCCACAGAAGTGCCAAACTGCTCGTTTTTAAGTATGAATTCAGACAAACTGTAGTAGTTTCCTCCAAGCTGAAGTTAGAGGCTTTTAAATTAAGAAAAAGTTTTCAAAGTTAGGAAAAGCCATCTCTACAAAGGCCCGCTTCAGCTCTAAAAGAACAGCCAAAATAGGAAGAATGGGGCATTTCACTTACCACCCTACTAGTTTCAAGACTTGTTGGTACCACATTACCATTTCTGGATGTGTAGATCAGTTAATGCTCGGCAGGGAAATGTAGTAAAAACTAGTTTAAATATAGAGGTATTGTTGTGCTTTTTAGCAATCAACAGGTATGAACATACAACAGCATACGGAAGACTACACTTAAAAGAATTTATACCTATCATGGCTAGTAATTAACTGTATTTGGATTCAGGCAGCTTACACAGCAGAATAAAGTAATACACAGCAACTGGAGGAAGCCTGTATTAATCTTGTGTACTATTCCAGACCTGCCAGAATTCCAGAACCCCCCCAAAAAGCAGTAACTGCTAGAGATAGCAAGATGGCCTTATAATATAGACAGCAAATATTATTAAATTGCTCTTTTTGCTTTCCAAACAGCAATCTTTCTATTAGGTGTATTTTTTGTTTTGCTTTAAAGTTTGGTTTCATTAAATTATTTTTTTGTCAAGATTAATCAAACTGGTCCATGGGACAATGATCAAGAAATACTCTTGCTCTGATACCATTCCTTTTAAATAGTTCATGGGGACCTTTTGCAGCTGATGAACTTGCATTACTTCAAAACTGAAAGGCAAAAAGCAAGAACTTGGAAGTGCACCGTATTTTTGTAACCTTCAAGAAAAAAAAATGTAACCTATGCTGAATTAGGATGTAGCATTAATTTGCACAGAGGAAGCAGCTTCCTGTGTGTTACATACACGACTATCAACTTCCAAAGTGTTGTTGCCCAGATATATTTTTTTTTTGCAAGAAGCTAGACTTACTTCATGACAGTCAATACATATCTTGAAGATGAACTGGTTTAACAGTGTTTACTTTTCATTTTCATTTCACTACTGAGGTTCATCCCTTTAAGAAAAGGAACTCAACGTTAAGAAGCAACGTAGGAGTTCTCTACTTACCTTTCTGATTTCATACTAGCATCTTACATGCATCTTCAGCAATTACCATTGATCTTCTATGAAAACAGATGCAAAACCACAAAATGTGGGTTTGGTTAAAAAAGGTGGTGAAATGCTAAATACCAGATAACATCAGATCTTTTCTCATGTATGTTTTAACAACAAATTAGCCAGAGTATTTAAGAGCTAATTTTAGATGCACCCATGTATATTTAAGGCACACTGCTAATCTGCTTATTAAAGGACTTATTTCTGCATTTGAGCAATTTCACGTATTAGGCAAGCAAGTGCTGCTTCCCCAGCAATATCTTCACTGGAAACCTTGAGAATTCACATTCCCTACTAGAAGGGCCATTACCATAAAAGAAAGCATCCCTGCATTAGACATATTTATCTGGACCACTTTCAGAATCTAAAATTTTCTTTCTGTAACACCACAGCATACACTTCCTACTTTAGCAATTATTCCAGATGAACAATTATATAAGGCTCCCAGCTTTCTCCTCTGCCTTGGAAAAAAGTATTCCTGATTTAGCCTGTAGGATTTCAAGCAATAATTTTAAAGATAAATTAGTAATGTTAATAGTTACAATTTCACTTGTACTTTGTTCTGCGACTTCAGTGTCTACTTAAGTGATGGGTTTTTTTTAATACTAGGGAGCATCACCATTTTAGGTAGACACTAGACATCGATACAATCCCCAGCCCAAGGCTTCCAACCAGTCTTTCCAAGAAGGAAATTTAAAAAACATTAAGCTGTAAAAAATAGAAAAAGGAGTAAAATGCACAGAGGATGACTTAGAACACTTGTCTCCAACAGCTGCCTGATCATTCTCCATCAGTAGCCGTGATCCAGCCCCCTCACAAAGCCTATACTTGCAACTGCAGATTAGCCACTAAGCCTGGAAAGCAAGACAGGGCCTTAGGTAAGGTTTACCTTATCTCCTACCATGCTGATGGTCAAAGCCCTTACAGTAGCTTCCTGCAAGAGCTGTTTGCTTACTGTGGTACAGTTCTCCCCACTGGAGCTAGTCTACTTAATAAACCTACAATTTTAGGGCAAAAATTCAAAACACTGGCTTTAGACTCCCCTGCCATATGTTAACTAGTATTACTTGCAAATGCTAAATCCTGTTAAGGAATCAGATCATAACTGTGGAAACAGGCTCGGTATTTTACATAGCTTGTAATATTCAGAGTCCTGCACATTGATTCATGCCATCTGGCCCAACAGCACTGAGGCTTTCTTTATGCCAAGCGCCATGCATCCAGCCCCGGCCGTCACAGCCCTCTAGTGGAGATGCAGGAGGGAGTTTTGATGGCATTCATCCATGGTGGCTTGCTTTTGCTCATCTGCCTTCTGGGCTGCTCCCAACTCAGCACAACTGCTTTTCAGTCAGGCTTGGCCAGTGATGGTGTTGCTTCTACCTCTGTGCAGTCAAGGGAGATCTTAGCAGCAAAGAGCAGAGACCTACGGGGACTTCTGAAGTGCCGGCAGCCCACCTAGAGATAAACCCCACACCCAGCCCTGCAGGGCTGCTCTGTCTGCCTTGCCAAGCCCACCAGGGCACAAGCAGTCTCAAGAAGAACACTGTTGAGCGGGAACCCTAGGTACAACCTTTGGTACACCAGTCACTTCTCTACTAGCATCTCCCATTGCAAAGGAGCATGAACAACTGTTTTCATCTTTTTTCTACCTCCTCTACAGCATAGGGGTGAGGAAGTTCACTTTTAACAACCACCCAAGTAGTGTTTAGACACTACCGGCATACTTCAAGACAACACCATTACATAGCCTGTCAGAAACCTGCTAGGATTTGTCTCCTGGCTCTGTGCCATTCATGCTTACGTTTTGTTTTTTTATTATCTATCAAAACTTTTATTGAAAGCTTTTGCCTTCAGGCTTTTTAGATATTTGCCCAAGCCCAAGAACTGTGGTGCTGTGCCTAAACCCAGGTGTGGCCACACACATACACAAATACCACTTCAGGAAAACCAAAGTTTACATCCCAGAGACCACCAGTCATGTTTCAACTCTCCAGAGATTGATTATGATGAAGATTTCATCACATCTGCAATTTCTGTTCCCTGAGATGTCAGTATCCCCTCCTCTCAAGGCATCCCTTCTACCACTTCAAAGGCTTATATAGGCAGTGACAAAACATGAACAATCAAGGAAATAGTTTTGGCATTAGAGACCATCTTAAACAATAACGACCACATCAGGATGCTCAACAGAACCCAAATGTACTAAGAATATCCAAAACTGCGTATACACCATAATTCTATCATATCCAAAAATTGACTCCCAAGTGTAAAGTCACAAAGACAAGAGTTTAATATTGACAAAAAAAAAGTTTAAGTTAGTAGTATTTTCTTCCTTGAAATAACATACTGGTCATATGAAAGTCACTGAAGAGGTCTGCTTTTAGCTTGGAAGACTTTTACAGTTACAGCTGAATTCAAACCCCCTAATTCCAAATGTGTGATGTTAACACAAAAACTTAAAACTTAAGACCTGGGATAAAGAACAAATTCAGTTGTTAAGATTCTAGCAGTTACGTGAGGCCTTTCAATGCCTTTCCCATAACATGAAAAGTTCTTCAGTATCTTTCCCACCACCATTATTTCAAGATTCACAAGGTTCTTTAAAATACTAATGGGGTTAAATTGAAACCAAGCGCCATATGTTGTAATGTCTTCTGTGAAAGTCTGAAGCCACCCTGTTTCAATTATTTGGTTATTCAGTGCAGAAAGTTAAAGATCACAGAAGGTATAACAGCTTTTAATACTCCATTAATATTATAGATTAAAAATTATTGCATAGTCTTATGCATTTCCTAAAACAGCGTTCTCTGGAAATTAAACATTTTAATATAAAAGGAGCAACTCTTTAAAACATGAATTGCTTTCACTACCTCGATCTTCTATCCTTTTTTGATTTGTCAGTACATTTGTCCATCGTTTTCTCATTGTCTCCTCTGCACTTGGGGCAATACCATTTCCCCTTTGGTTTGTAGGTGAGTCCAACACACGAAAAGTGGAACCACTCGATAGGACATTGTTCATTATCACATCCTATCATTTCGCCGTAAGACACTTGGTTGCATAAGCAGTAAGTTGGTTCATTGGGATCAATTGCAAATTCTACAGGTGAAACCTCTCTCTCTTGTTTGGCTTTGGAACGTTTTTTCTTCTTGGAAGATTTAGATCTTTTTTCTTTAGGTGGCTGATCATCGCAGTCATCAATACCATTTGCTATATGGCACAGATCACGGCTTTCGCTGGTTCGCTGGCGACGAGGTCTACGTGAAGATCTCTCTGGCTGGCAGGACTCCATCTTCGCCTTTTCTAGAGGCTTTTCGTTCTCAGACAGATCTTGAAAACACTGAGAGTGTGTTTCCATTTGCCGGGCTCTATTCTCTACCAGTTCTAGCATCTGAGTAACTATTTGAATTTTTTCATCTCCAAGTTCTTGGCTGTTGATTAATGCACGCTGAAGATGCTGCTGCAAGCGTTTCTTCTGAACAGGATCATTTTCAGACTTGTATTTTTCATAGACATCATCTATTTCTTTTAGCGCTTCTATAAAATAAAGATAATAAGAATAATTACACAAGATGGAACATGCTGAAGAAAATATAGACATGTATTTCTAACTGATGAGAAATAGTACAAATTTTAATTATAGTATTCCCTAGTGGGCTAGATCAGATATTTTATTCATATTGCACGTGGTCATCAAATCAATGTTTAAGATCACAATCTGTTGCAAGAAAAAATTCTCAAATTCTAAGAAAAAACAAGCTTATTTTAGCCATTGGAAAAAGAAAGGATAACCCAAGGAAGGGGACCACAACTGCTGGAGTGTGGATAGTCCAGATCCTGCCTTCATCTGAAAAAGCAGGAATTTCTGTTAAGAGTCCTTACCAGTAGTTCCAAAACCCTAGTCTACTAACCAAAGCAATAGCTTATTGTATCACAGGAAGAAACTTAGAATTCATATAATCGTTATATATCATGATATATAACACTCTGGAATCAGGATATCCAGGTCCTCTGCCTTCCCCTTCTTATTCATCTAAGGGTTTGGTATTACACTTTCAGGTAGACATAGTTATAAAAAGAATATGACAACTGAAGTCACACAATATCAGATTTACAATCAGGATTTAAGTCAACTTAAACCACTCAAAATGCTTTTCCTATTACCAAAACAAATTACAGCAAAAGTTGCATTTTAAATCAAGGCTGAACTTTTCAGAATAGGTGACCTACTGTTTAGTGCATCACAAGATATTTTTAAGCAACTAGTAATGAGTGGCTCACAGTTTGACTTCTAAGCTTTTCTTCTTGCAAGTCATGCAAAATAACTGGCTGAGCTGCTGTGAATCTTTCATAAAATTTAGTTCTTCGAAGCAAGTTTAATGAACCCAAATATGAGATTAACAAATGCCTTACAAGCCAGTCTTAGTCTGTACTCTATTGTTCTGTATTGCTGGATATCAAAATAATATTTTCCAGACCAAAAGTTACGCTAGATCTATACATAAAAGACAGAGAAATTGCTATGTGGAAGGAAGCAGATTAGTAGAACTGACAGTGAAACCTGATGCAGTGTTAGATACAGTACTGGTTCCTTCAGAGACAACTTAAGGTTTTTATTTGAACAGGCCAGAGAATTTATGAATGATACTAAACTATTTACTTCTAAAGCAAGATATGCAGTACAATCTATCTCTTACTAAAGACCTGTGTTTCACAAACTGGCTTTCATTTTTAAATTTGTCTGCATTGTACAGTTGTGAAATGATTCAAGCTTGTACTAAATGGAAGGCATAGATATTATCTCAACATTGTTCACAGTGATTTTTTTTCCTGTTGACATCTTGAAACAGTTCCTTAAGCATGAACGGCTGCTTTTTACTATAAATTCTGAAACCTGTATGACAACAGGAGCCAACAGCATTTTGTTCTGTTCCAGACTTTTACTAGGGGAAGATAAAAATCACTATTCTGCCTGTCCAGTATATCACTTAACCTATTTTTTCTCAATACTACCATTCCAGCTACCAAGAATGCTACACAAGCTTTGTTTCCCTGCATCTTCAACTGCATCGTTTGCCTGTTGCCCTGACAGGGTGGGTAAAAAAAATAAAATAAAAATCTTACTCTCTGCTCCTGAAAAGCACGGAGTAAGGTCCTTTGTATGCTGTTGAACTAGAAAGGCATAACCAGAGTACAATATTCTGCAGTCACATTATCTCCCACCCAGCCTTTTTTTAGGGGGACGTAGGGGAGAGTGTAGGTATAGTTACACAGATTTCCCATATTGAGAATGCCCTGCCCAGAAGAACCCACAAGCAATAACTGTTCGCTTTTTCACATTGTCACAGAGAACAACATTCACCCTACATTGATTACTCCCTAGATGCAGCCTGTGAAAATATGCTGAACACTTTAAATGGATCACCATCCATTAAAAAGAGGAAGTAACTTTTGGACTGACAGAGGTGCAAGTTTACCAAACTCCTTGTTGGTCCCTAAGGTGAGAGAAGGCATCCATTCGTCCAACTAAATAGCTCTGAAACCCCTGTTAAAAAAAAAAATTCCACAAAAAAACCAACACAACACAATCCAGGGCCAAGTGTTTATTACAGATAATCTGATTAAGTTTGGTGTAGCTAATAAAAGCTAAAAGGATTTCAGTTTTCCAAGCACAGCAGTGGCTTTGTCCCTCCTGCATGAACTATCACTGCCTTTAAATTAGCTGAAATTATATAGCACTGCTTTTACATCTTCAGACTTGGGCCTAAAATATTTGTATCCATTTTTTAGGGTTTGTTTTTTTTTTGTTGTTGTTGTTTTTTAAAACAGTGGTAAAACTAGCAACAAACTTCTGCTTTGGCCCAGAACTGTATTAGTGGCTGGAGGAATACATATAGGAGATACAGCCTAAATAGAAGATTGAATCTATTCAAGACAGATGTGGAACGTTGGCTAGTCAGCACAGATCAGGTAAAGAGCCTGCTAGGCAGTCCAGCCTCGACTAAGAATTCAAAATGCTGCAGACAAGTCTATGCCCTCTAGACTTTAAAAGCCCAGAAAACTCACCAAAGCCTGTTCTTATGTATCTTCCTGGGTAATTAGAAAGATAATTGAAAGAATCCTTTTACAATAGCCGTCTTCTGAGGTGGCCCGTTTAACGTCTGAAAGGCCTTAACTGTCCCCTCCCACCCATACTGAAGAAAGCCTCCCATGAGGAGGGGAGGGAGATACGGCTCTAGTTCCTACCCGCGGGACCGCTCCGGCCGTGGGTCCACGCCACTCGGCCTCTGCGGCATACTTCAAGCAATAACGCTCTCCAGGAGCGGGTCCCGTCTCACGATTAGGCGGTAGGGCAGTAACTGGAAGGAAAAGATACCGCAGCCGCGTAGCCCAAGAGTGCGAGGTGGCACGGAGGTAACCGGTATTTAACCTGCATTTCGGAAGAAGCCGCCTCTTTGGCTGAAGTTCAGGGTAACTTCCCGCTCGACGGACCCTCTGCGTGACCCGAGGGAACGCACCTAACACTTTATGGAGCCCCCCCGGGCCGGAGAGCGCCGATTTACCGTGGGACGGGGGCACGGCTCCGCCGGCACGCGGCACCCCCACCCCCGCAGGGCGGCGGGGCAGAGGGAGCCCCAAACCCGATTCCCGTGCCCCCGCCTGCTGCGGCGCGGCCGACGGTTCAGCCAGCGGGG